TGAGCTACTATTATATTTTTTAATCAATATTTTGAATTTGTTTTATTTTTATATTTTCATTTTCATTTTAAAGTTTTTGTAATTTTTTGTTTTTGATATTTTTATTAGTTTTTTAATATGTCTGTATAGTTTTTATTAAACTATTTAAATATTTTATTTAACTTAATTTGAATATTAAATATAAATATAATATATTTAAATATAAATCATAATAAACTAAATGAAAATGAGAAATGTTGCCTTGGCAACTAGATGAAAATAAGTTTGTTCGTTAATTCATTTGTTCGTAAATTTTGTTTCATTTGATTTGAAGTTAAATCTTTTATTACTTGAAATAAAAGTTTATGGTTTTAGTTTTAGTTAATTATAATAACTGACATTAGTTAATAAAAATACAACTGTTCATTGTTAATAGTTCATGTTAGCTCAGGCCAGTTAAATAATATTAACAAATACTTTTGATTTGAATAATTATTATTAATAAATGTTGAAATTAACAAAGATATATGCTTTACAATATTTTCATTGTTAGTTTAACTAATGCAGTTAACTAATGGTAACAAGTGGAACCTTATTGTAAAAAATCCTACTGACCTCAAAACATTTGAGAGTAAACGGCTGTTTTAGTAACAGTAGCTGAAAATCATTTTGAAGCTAGTTTCTGGATTTAGTTGCAAAGTGCAAAACAACTAATCGTTTGCAGCGGTGACTGGTGGTTTTGGTAACTAGTTGCTATGGTAACTGGTTGTTTTATGCTGCTAGCTAAAACAGACAAGTTGCTGCCCCTGGTTTCTCTGAGCCAGGACAAGAGCAGCGGGAACAACATCCCAATGATAACTGAGCTGGGTAAGAAGGGCTGACGGCGACTCGTTTCTCAACCTCTGGACTGTGTTCCTGTAGCTCTGTGGATGTTTCAGCTGTTCTTCTGTTCCTCTCTGGTGTTTTCCACTGTTGGCATGAACGATTCTGCAGCATGCTGTGAATCCCGTCTGCTTCTGTGTGGCGAGACACACGGCTAGTTCCTGTCAAACCGATCGAATCTGTCGTCTGTTCAGAAATGATCTGTCACTCCGTTACGTGTTTCTGAGTGTCTCAGACAGGACACACAAAGGCTCAGGGTCCAAAATGAACTTCCTGCCACTTCTGCCAAACAATCGACAAAATTTCTGGCCATAAATAATTTTTTCTGACCATGAAACTGCACTTTACATTGTTTTTATTTATTAATGTTTTTAATTCGTTTTTATTTTCTATTTTAATTTGAGTAATTTTGTTGTTTGTTTTGACGTTTTCTGGCCATAAATGATTTTTACTGACCATGAAACTGCATTTTGCATAGTTTTTATTTTTAGATTTCAATGTAAATTTGAGTAAATTTGTTGTTTGTTTTTGTCAATTTTATTACTTTAAATATATATATATATATATATATATATAGTTAACAGAAAAATAAATAAATAAATAAATAAACAATCAAATAAAAATGTTTTACTTAAAATGTAATAAACTTGAAATAAATTAACATATAAAAAAATAATAAACATATTTTATGCTTTTGTCATGTTTTATCAGGCTGACCCATTAATACATATCATCACATCATGTTTCTGCTTAAAGGTCTGAAGAAAAACTTCATCTAGATAAACTTTAAAGTTCTTATTAAAGTTCTTATTAAATTCACCAGCTGCTGCACTGGCAAGTTACTCTGTTTCATTTATTTGCCAAAGCCCCTCGTTTGGTGCTAAAGGTGTTCATTTTTGACCCTGTGTTGTCCTGTTATTTTCTGTGAACATTCTTTACTAAGACTTCTCATTTAGTGAAACCTATTCCTAACAAACCATGTGTGTGTGTCTGCAGTGAACGACTCAAACGTCCAGTTTCTGGACCAGGATGATGACGACGACCCCGACACGGAGCTGTACCTCACGCAGCCGTTCGCCTGTGGGACAGCGTTTGCCGTCAGCGTGCTGGATTCATTAATGAGTGCTGTAAGTCAGCGCAAACCATAGGCGGAAATCCCGGGGGGGTCGGGGGAACAGGATCCCCCCTATCTGAGGGTTGTCCCCCCTAAAAATATTGTTAAAAACCACACTGTGCATTGTAAATAACAATGTTTTATACTTTAAATAATTGTGTAAGTAGTAAAACACCACAAACGGGGCAAAAATGCGTTTTAAGTTTAGAAACATTTCGAGTCTCCCCCTCCCTTTGCTTGCTTTGCTCTAAATGCCTGCTTTCCTCTTTTACATCACCTACACACACACAAGTCCGGTGAGAGAGAACAAAGCCAATAGTTGTTGAACTCCAGTAAGTAACGTTACCTGCTTGACGGAAACGGTTGCCAGGTTTTCATAACAAAACCCACCCTATTGCTACTCAAAACTAGCCCAAACTATCCGCGTTTCGAAGGGGTCCCCCGGTAAAAATCGCATTCCGGGGGCTAAAATGCACGTTATTGGGGATGCTTCAATCCACGGACATGAAAAACAACCCGCGGCAACAGTGATAAAGTAGCCCAATTCCGCGGGAAAACCGCAGACTTGGCAACACTGTGACGGATAGTAATGTCTACAACGGACACAAGCGCTGTCTCGGTGTGACCACAACAGCTTGACGTTGTCTAATTTGGCACGGACTCCCTGCTACACTAATAGTAAGACTTTCCTCTGTGTATACATATCCTTACAAGTACAATTTTAGCTGGATTATTTGTGTCCCCTTCATGTTTATTGTCCCCCCCATCTGCCGTCCCACGTCTGTAACGCTCCTCTCCGTCTCTCTCTCTCAGACCTACTTCAATGACAATATTCTGACTCTGATCCGGACGCTGGTGACCGGCGGAGCCACGCCGGAGCTGGAGGGTCTGCTGGCGGAGGAGAATGCGCTGCGCGGAGGATACAGCACACCGCAAACGCTGGCCAACAGAGACCGCTGCCGCGTCGCACAGCTAGCGCTTTACGACGGACCCTTCGCCGATCTGGGGGTGAGACTGACATCTGCTGCTTCTTCATTTTATTCAAGTTTAACCCTCTGGTGCTGCTGGTCAAAAATGACAATTGTTTTATTTCAGTAAAAAACATACTATATTTTAGTTCGATAATGTGTTTTATTTAATATTTTGTATTTTATGGGGAATTTATGGTACTGAGATTATATTTATGGAATAGTTATGATCCATTTATTATATTTATTAACCACTTTTTGATCTTAGACCTGAAAATGAAATTTCCGACTTAAAAAAAAACTTAAAATCTTAAACTCCTAACTAAACTCCAACTTAAACTTGAAAATCTTGAATGCTTTGGAGCACAGATTTAAGTGTGAGCTTTTTTAAAGAAGACACATGGGAGATTATAAAAGTGAAACTAAAAAAAAAGTTATAGAAGTTTTTATTGTGAAAATGTTAAATTTTATATGAAATATATATTTTCCAAAACATGTTAAAACTGTGAGAAAATCAAAGCCATAAATCTAAACAAGTTGTGTTCCAAATTTGAGGTTGATATCGCGAAAAAAAAAAAAGCTTTTATTAAGATTTTGTTTGGGCGCAGTGCAAAATGTTTCCACTAAATGTAATTCGCTTTCCATTCTTTTTGTGTGTGTGTGTGTGTGAGTGTGATAGCAAGTGGCAAGAACTTTAACCCACCATTAACCATTTGTTTCTTTTCAGCCATTTTTTACTGAAAAATTGTACACTTTTTTTTTTTTTTTACGTCATTGGAATGGTATGAAACGTGTTAAAGTTTTTGGCTCTTGCTATGTGAACACACACAAAAAAAAAATCAACATGATTTGAAAAGGTTAAATGGTCTTGAAAAAAAAAGTCACAATTGTACTGTTCGCAGTCAAAAATTACCACACTGGAAATGAATGGGAATGAATTTCATCTAGTGGAAACCTTTGGTACTGCGCCCAAATAAAATCTTACTGAAAGCAAATTTTTTGCAATATCAACCTCAAATTTGGAACACAACTTGTTTAGATATATGGCTTGGATTTTCTCACAGTTAACATGTTTTGGAAAATATATATGTTTCATATAAATTATAAAAAAAAAAAATACAAAACAGGACTTCCGTGATGTTTGGAGGCCTGAGAGTCAAATACTAATACTGTTTGAATCTATTATATTAAATATCTTTAAATCTGTACCACCATATAATATTTAGGTTTGTTTGTGTTTTCAGGATGGGGGCTGTTATGGTGATTTATTCTGTAAAGCATTGAAGACGTACAACATGTTGTGTTTTGGAATCTACCGATTAAGAGACGCACATCTGGGAGCACCCAGCCAGTGCACCAAACGGTGAGTGAACCAGCTTTACTAGCTTTACTAGGTTATTCAGGATTCACAGATGATTAGAAAGTTCAAAAGAACAGCATTTATTTGAAATATAATTTTTAAAATGATGTAAAACATCATGTTGTTTTTTTAGAATAGAGAAAAATCTGTATAATTCAGTCAATTGCAGGTATATAAAATTAATGAACAATACATGCTCAAAATATCAGTTGACGTTTTGCATTTTTAGTTATTACATTCAAAAATTACGTCAATAAAAATATTAAATATACAATTTATCAGTATAAAAAAATAATATTACATTTTCTGATCATATACTGTATATTGCAGTGAAAATTTAAACAAACTTGAATATTTAAAAATTTAAATACTTGAATGCTGTATTAATTTCTTTATATGTGTGTGTGCGTGTGTGTGTACATATACACACACACATATATATATATATATAGCAACACTAATTGAGCTTTTCAGTAGATTGTTTGTAACTTTGTTGTTTCCATTTTCATGTTAAATGAAACTATTGGCAAATATTTCCTCACAGTGGTGTGGATGTTTGTTTCTCTCGCGACAGATACGTGATTACGAACCCTCCCTACAACTTCGAGCTGGTGCCTACAGATCTGATCTTCTGTCTGATGCAATTCGACCACAACGCCGGCCAGACGCGCACCAACCTGTCCTCCCACTCCACCTTCTGTCCCAGCAAGAAGAGCCCATCCGCCCACTCAATCCCCTCATCCGCCCGGCCGGGCCGCAGCCGGAGCCGCGACCTGCGCGACAAACAGAAGTACGTTCCTCTGTAAGCATCTGTGGCGTTGAGCTGTGCCTGTGTGCACGCGTGTGTGTGTGTGACGCCTGACGCCACGGACTCATCCTTACGCTTCGGTATCACAAACGCAAATCCCGGACTTTATTTTTTTACACGTATCGAATGTTTACTTCGTACATCATCTTTAACATACTAGAAGTTACATCTGTATAAAGCACCGGCCAGCGTTTACACGACAAACCATGGTTTTGTTGAGGATCAGTACGTCTTACACGGGTAACACTGTGTTGGGTTAATGAATCAGTTTTACCATTTTGCACTTTAACTGCACTTTAATCCTACAGTTTGACAACAGCGACCTGACGAACGCTCGTGTGCTTCATCATCACATCACGCCTCTGTGCTTCTACATCCTGGTATTCCTGATATAACACGGCTGCTGTCTCATGTTACCCACCTACAGTGGCTCCAAACGTCTGACGGCTTGCATTTTTAGTTAATAAAAAATTACATTAAATTATTGCATTTTTTTTTGTTGTTGAAATTTTGAATTTATGCATTTTTTTTTTTTGCAGTGGAAATTTATTTTTTGCAAGTGTTTAGATTCACAACTCAAATGATGTAAAACAAACATTTTGTGGATTTTAGGAATAGAGAAAAATCTGTACAATTCAATCAATTCCAGATACATAAAATAAATGAACAATACATAGTAAAAATATACAAAATACAAAACAAATGCACCAACTATGAAGGACATGGATGGAAAAAGTGTACATATTTTAATTGATGTTTTGCATTTTTAGTTCATAAAAAGTCAATACAAATATTATTAAATTAATAAATATTACATTTCCTGATCATATAAATTGCAGTGAAAATTTAAATAAACTTGAATTTGTGATTTTTTTTTTAATTGCACTGGAAATTAATTTTTTGCAACAGTTTAGATTCAGAACTCAAATGATGTAAAACAAACATTTCATGGATTTTAGGAATAGAGAAAAATACGTAGAATTCAGTCAATTACAAAACATAAAATAAATGCACTAGAAATATACAAAATACAAAAAAAAATGCACCAAATATAAAGGACATAATTGATAAAATACTGTACATATTTTAATTGACCTTTTGCATTTTTAGTTAATAAAATATTAAAATATTACGAGTAAATAAAATATTAAATTAATAATATTAATAAATAATATAACATTTTCTGATAATATGAATTGCAGTGAAAATTTAAATAATCTTGAATTTATTTTTGCAATTTGTGTTTTTTTTTTACCATTTAGATTAACAACTCAAATGATGTAAAAACCATTTTGTGCATTTTAGGAATAGAGAAAAATCTGTACAATTTAATCAATTACAGATACATAAAATAAATGAACAATACATAAAAGAAATATACAAAATACAAAACAAATGCACCAAATATAAAGGACATGATGGATAAAGTACTGTACATATTTTAATTTACATTTGCATTTTTAGTTAATCAAATATTAAAATGTTACAAGTCAATAAAAATATTAAATTAATAATATTAATAAATAATATTAAATTTTCTAATCATATAAATTTCAGTGAAAATTTTAATAAACTTGAATGTATTTTTTTATTCACAACTCGAGTTTATTTTTTACTCTTTGTAATTTATTTTTTAACAATTTAGATTCACAACTCAAATGATGGATGGATTCTTGAAATAGATAAAAAATCTGTATAATTCAATCAATTGTGGATACATAAATAAATGAGCAATGAATACGCAAAATATACAAAATTTAAAACAAATGCACCAAATCTAAAGAGCATGATGGATAAAGTGTATGTATTTTAATTGAACAAAATCAGTTTCCGGTCAATGTCACAAAACATTTGATTAGTGAACTATTTTAGAAAACTCTAAAATCATTTTATGTCATGACATTTTATTTTAATTTTTGCAAAAAAAAGTAAAATTTTTCAATGTTTCCTCAGACATTTGGACCCACTGTACTTACACATCATTATATATGTGCTCATAAAGAATGTTGTTTTTATTTTCCATTCACTGCCTTCTTGAGACGACAGATGACAGAATGAGAGTTTAATCACATCAGCCTTGACAGAAACGCATAGCATACGCATGAAGACGCGCTACTGGACGTCTGCGAAACAAAGGCTAAACGTCAGCGGTGATTCAGGTTAATTGTGATTTAGAAACCCAAACTGAAGTGAAGCTAATGGAAACATCAGAAACATCCCGCTGAAGCATTATTCCTCAGTCCTCATGCTGGTTTAATGGGATTTTTGCAGCTGTCGCTCAGACGTTTCTGTGCTTCAAAAGAGTCATTTGACAAATGTTTTATCTTCCATTCAAAATATTTTCCATATTTCTAAGGCTGTTAAACTCTTTTGGACTGAACTCGATGTCCTGTTTGGTTGGTACAACTCACTTAATATATGAAAATGTTGCGATGCTGCAAGAATAAAGCTGTTTGATGAGCATTTGTAAAGAAGCAAGCAGGACGTTTGATTGCTTTCTATGTTTAATTCACGTTCATTGCTATAGTAAGACGCTTACACCAAAGTTTTGATTCTCTAAATATCAAGTGTAAGAGATTTTTCTTATATGATTCTAATGAACTAGTGTATGCGATATCTTAAACATAATAAAAGTATTTTTTTTTTCTGTATTGATGATGTGAAGTCTTTGCTTTTAAAACACTTAGAGCATCTGCTTTTCACCTCATTTTCACTGATAATCTTTCGTTATTAATTAAATGTTTTTATTTTTATTTTTTATTGTATTATTTATAATTATCATTTTTTTTATTTTTATAAATTGATCAATTATTTTCAAATTTTTATTTTATAATTTCACAATTTTAAAATTATTTTAATTATTTTATTCAATATAATTATAATTGTATTATTATTTAATGATTTTTTTTATAAATAACTTTTTAAACCTAAAGTACATCTACATTTGTAAAAACTTGCATATATTTTTTTATTTGATCATCTTTTAATTTTAGTTTGTATTTTATTATTTTAATAATT